GCCCTCCTCAGGCTCCACCCCCAAAATTTCCAGGTATTTCCCAACCCAGAGGTGGCAGCCCTACTATACCCTACCAAGGTCTTTCCGCTTCCTAAACCTCACCCCACCCCACCCCCAGTCTCTACTCATAAACCTTCAGGTATTTCCAAACTCAGAGCTAACAAACCTACTCTCCTCGCAGGGAGGCTAGTCTTACAGAATGGCGATGGGCCAGAGTCTGTTAATGTTTCCGAGGTCCTGCAGGCTTCCTTTTAAGTGGTCACCAACCACATACGCCATGTACAGTGTTATGCTGATAAGGCATACTCATTTATCACTCCATTTTCTTCTACTCCCAACTCCATCTTCACACATGCTTTCTAAGGTGGAAGTCTTGTACACACTTGGGACTAAGGCTGCTTTCACGCACTTTGGACAATGCACTTCCAGCCCACTTTCGTGAAGCACAAAAATCCACTTGCAAGTTATCCAGTGTATGTGAAAGCAACCTCTTATCCATCTCTGATGGATTTACATCATAGTAAAAATGTGATGGATTGGGAATTAACATTTATTCAGCTAATTGGAGCATGAACCTTCTTAGGTGAGACCAGGGCCGGATCAAGGCCAATTGATGCCCTAAGCACAGCCCAACAATGGTGCCCCTTGGCTCTTCCACTGCTTAATGACAGGACATTATTTATTGGGGGGGGGGGATGCCAGGCAGATGTAAAGAACTGTCGCTGGCCTAGCATAACATCTCTCTATTTTACATGCCCTGCGAAACTGTATTAGATCAGACAGCACAGATGTCACTCGGCAGAGAGTTCCACCAGGCTGGAACCATGGCAGAAAAGGATCTGGCCCTGGTCGAGGCCAGCTGGATATCTTTTGGGCTGGGGACCACCAGGAGGTTCTTATCTGCTGATCTTAATGCTCTTTAGGGGACATACTGGGAGAGGTGGTCCCGAAGGTACGTAGGTCCCTGACTGTTAAGGGCTTTAAAGATAAATATCAACCTTGAATCTGATCCGGCACTGCACTGGCAACCAATGCAGTTCGTGCAGCACTGGATGTATGTGTGCCCTCTGTGGGGTCCCTACGCTTCTGCATTTTGTACCAGGTGGAGCTTCCGGGTCAGTTTCAAGGGTAGCCCTATGTAAAGTGTGTTATAGTAATCCAGCCTGGAGGTGACCGTTGCATGGATTACTGTGGCAAGGTCAGGAAGAGACAGATAGGGGGCCAGTTGTCTTACTTGGCACAGTTAGAAAAATATCCGCTGGACAATGTTGGCGATCTGGACCTCCATAGATAAAGCAGGGTCCAGGCTCACCCCAGACTCTTGATGGTAGGTGCCCGGTGTCAGAGGTACCCCGTCAAGGGCTGGGAGTTGGCTCCCAAATCCTGTCATTCCCCCCCTCCCTCAGCCACAGAACCTCCGTTTTAGTGGATTCCGCTTCAACCGGCTTTGTTCCAACCATCTCACTACAGCCTCCAAACCCTCAGCCAGATCTTTCGGGGCAGAGTCTTGGTGGCCACCAGTCGGCAGATATAGCTGCGTGTCACTGGCATATTGGTGACGCCCAAGCCCAAAGCTCCGAACCAGCTGGGCAAGGGGGTGCATATAGATATCAGACATTCTTAATAAGTGCCAAAGGTGCAATAAGAGAGTAAAAATTCAGTTATCTTCCAGGCCAAACCCCACAACTATATTACATATAAACTTAAAAAAAAATTATTTAACACTAAATAGCAGTAACCAATATAAGCACATTATTTACTCATCTAGGGCAATAGGAAAAGCAGATTTTCAACTCTTTTAAATGCATTTTAAAATAAAATTGTTATAAAATAAAAATGCAAATACAAACATTTATTGAAAAGTGTTTTTAATCACCCTCCCAAAGATTATGGCAAAATATGATCTGATATTATCCCTACTGAAATTATGTGATCTCAAGAGCATTCTTTTCAATTCTGAAAATCCTCTCTCTACAGAAATTGATGTTGGTGGACAATTAAAAAAAAAGATATTCTAATGGAGAAATATCACTATTTGTACGAAACAAAACATCTTTTATTCCATTGCTTTCTAACCTTAAAGATATACAGCATTTCAATATACATGGATCAGAAGATGCAAAATAATGCTCATTGTTGCCTAGTTACAACTGTATACTTTTAAAAGTTTTCTACTGCTTTTTTAAATTGCAAAGTCTTTGATCAAGTCCTCAAAACTAATCTGATGTAACAAATCTGTTTATATACTTAGCAGAGACAAGGTAACCAGCCTGTCTTGTTGCATAGCCACCCCTGCTGCCCCCCCTTGGTGTTAGTGGTTCCACTGCTTATCTTTTCTTATGAATAGCCATAACAGAAGGAATGACTGAGAAAAATATTTCATGTTCAAGGTGCCCCTCCCTCCCTTGGTGCCCTAAGCACGTGCTTATTTTGCTTAATGGTTAATCCAGGGCTGGGTGAGACAGACTCCTTCAATAGGCAGAACGACTGAACCAATTAAAATATTCAGCCAGTGGTAGCTTCACCAAGTGGATAAAAAGTGACCTGTCCCTTTAATAGAGGCTTAGTAGAATGTTATTTACCAGGGCTGTGGTCAGGTCAGGTGTGTCATTTGGTGCAGAGGGGAAGTGATCCTATTTCCCCCAGTGAAAATTGAAATGGAATTGCGCGATCACACATCCCTTGGTGCTGCAGGCTCAGCCCGTCACTGGCCGATCAGATGGCATGTTTGGGCGAGTGGGGTGTTGCTGTTTTTTTGCCTTTCCCCCCCATGTGCATAAATGAGGATTTGAACCCTCACAGCGGTCCACGGCTATGAATCGCTTATGCGGCTATGTGCAAACTAAGTGAGGGGAAAAAATGGCACTGAATTGGGATGGATTGGGCAGCCTATCCGGACGGCTTGAGTGTACTTGCACGATCAGACAGCAGAAAGTCCATCCATTATTATTATTTATTACTTATTACTTAAAATTTGTACCCCACCCTCCCCAACTAAGCAGGCTCATGGCCCATCGGAACCAGTTAGAACCGGTCTTTCCCCGTGTCTTTTAACTCCATTTCTGTGGCAAGAGCAGCATGGGCTGCTGACAACTGTGGGACCTTTCCTGGATGTTGCTGTCTGATCGTGCCCTTTAGATCTATCAGGTATTTGCAGCTGAGTCGTATCTAAAGGCACGTCTGACCACAGCTGGGTGATGTTATCCCAAAGTATGTGCTCCTAGGGACTGCACATTGAATTAGTGTATGGATAAAGCAGCTTCCTGTTAGTATATATTACATGTCTTGTTCCTTCCCTTTTAGGATTATTCAGTGCCTAAATTCTTGGAGCCCTCCACTAGGAGCTTTGTGGATTGGTTGCTAAAGTGATCTCTACTTTCCCTGTCTCCCCATCCTTTTGCTCCCATGCCTCTCTTCTTGAGTGGAGTAATTTATATCCTGTTTGAATGCTGGGAACAACTGGTTCTTTACATGGGCTTCTAATATTGGGTGCTATTGTTGAATGCTTGAAACTAATTTGACAGCTGGAGTTTGTTTCACATTCCAGGTATTTGTACTGTTCTTCTCAATAAACTTTGGTTCTGTTTGCATTCTATCCAGATCTCAGCATGCCTTCCAAATTTACAGTGGCAACCCACTACTGTTAACTGGTAGTGTGGGCCTAGGCTTGCCAAGTCCCCCCGGCCCCGTTCCCCGCCGCCGGCGGAACTCCACCCCCACATGCATGTCACCCGGAAGTGACGCGGGTATGCCGGACACGCTGGGGGCGGGGCCAGGACCATCCGAGGGAAAACTCTATGGCCGGGAGTCCCCCGCTCCGGTAAGTTTCTGACTTGGCAACCCTATGTAGGCCACAGTCTGGACTGCAGAGTGTCTTTAATTTTGTGCAGAATCTAAGCCAGAAGAGTGATGGGCAATGGAAGGAAAGTTTTCTTTCTTGTGCTTCAGCTATTTTAGTGTGGAGCTGAACCTGAACTGGAAAGTGAGTCACACTGAAACATATTTCTAATCACACGTTTATATCCAAAGTGCAATTTTTAATCCCCTTCCCCAGCTACTTTTTTAAATTCCCATTTTACACATCTTGTAGTTAAGTTCATGATCTGCAGTGAGGAATCTGCACATTATCTGAAATAAATATTTTAGTCTCCACCCCTACGAATAGGGGTCTCCACCCCTAGTTTTCCCCTCTCACCCCCAACTTAGTTTTATAGCATTCTCACTGGAGGAATGAGGATAAAAGAAGAGGTTTGGCTTGTGCCTAGTGTTGCCAGCTCTGGGTCGGAAAATACCTGGAGATTTTTGGGGTGGAGCCTAAGGAGGGTGGGATTTGTATGTCAAACAGTCCATCTTCCAAAACAGCCATGTTCTCCAGAAGAAGTGGAATACATTATTTTAATAAATAATAAATAAGCAATCTGTGTACTCAGTTGTAATTCCTGGAGATCTCCAGACCCCACCTGGAGGTTGGCAACCCTACTGGAGAGAAGTAACTATATAGCTAATGAACGTTTTTGGAACGTCAGCCTTGCAAATGCGCGATTTTAAAACTTCCGTCCGAGATTTATTTCCTCTGCTCTCAGAATCGGTTCGAACACAGTGCCAATTAGTTTATCGCATGCTGGAAGGCCGCAGCTTGCCTGTTTTGCGATGCCAAAAAAGGTTCTTTCTGCTACCTGTTAAGCAGAGACCTACGGCAGTCCTCCACACCTCTAGGGGTCGATGCAGAAAGCACCCAGTTTTAGAGGAGCACGAACCGTACGTCATGCTGAACTTCGCATCCGGGTCCCCCGCGCGCGCGCTCTCCTTCCCAACGACGACTTTCCTCTTTTCCGGGAACAGAGTTCTCCGAAGAGTGTCTGTCTCTAGTGGAGTGGGCGTGGCCAGAGCCGAGCAGGGAGACGTACTGAAACTTCATTCGAAAACCCTCACGCACATATACATTTCCTATCTACTCACACACATACTCTCGCGCGCTCAGCCACGCCCCCTCCCTCCTGGCCTGTCGCGCTTCCTCTTGCTCCCCACTTAACAACTCTGAAGAAGGCAGACAGGCTCCGCGAGAGATCAACAAGCGTCCCCTAAGGCAGCGCGCTCAAGGGAGGGCGCGCGCGTGCGCGCTACGGAGGGCCAGTCGAGCCGCTACCGGCGCGAGGCGGTGGCGGCAGCGGCTCCGCGCGCGCGCTCCCTCCCTCCCCCCTCGTTCTTCTCCCCTCACCCTCCCCCCGCCCCACTTGGTCTGGGGGGATCGATTCCCGGGTCGGCGTAAAATGGAGGGTCTGACGCTGAGCGAGGCGGAGCAGCGTTATTACTGCGACCTCTTCTCCTACTGCGACACCGAGAGCACTAAGAAAGTGGCGTCCAACGGGCGGGTCCTCGAGCTCTTCCGCGCCGCGCAGCTTCCCAGCGAGGTGGTCATGCAGGTAGTCCGCCTCTTCCTCCCTTTCACATCGCCCCTTTGTACTTCTTCCCCCACACGCACTCTTTGCCCCCCTTGTGAGGGGATGACACGGGGCGAGACCAACTCCCCTCCCCTGACAGGCCAGCCTCTGCCCTCCCACGGACCCACCAGCTCGCGTGTGTGTGAGGAAGGGGGGGAGCTTCTCGCCTGGCGAGGAGGACGCGCCTCTGAACAGCGAGGCGCGGTGGCCTAGCAGTTACAGTCAGGGGGCCAGGGTGGGGCTGGTTTTCCTGTTCTCTGAGGGTGCTCCAAAGGTGGGCTTTAGGTTAGAAGCTGCTTTAGCCGAATGGAAGAGCCCTGTTGCTCTGGCGCTTGGACACGCGCAGTGTTTCCTACTGAATATTCTCCTTTCAGAAGCCCATCAAGTTGATAGGCAACATTAAACCCTGGGTTTTTGTTTTTGTTGCTTTCTACCTTCTTTTTAATAGTAGCTTGATAAAAGGTCAGTATGAGTGAGTAGCTGATAACTGTTAAGATGTGATACTTGCTTGGCTTACTCTTGCCCCAGATGTTTAGAGGTAGTTTTGGGCACCCAAGTGGAAACATCTTTAAATGGAAGGAAACATTTCACAGACCTTTGCTTAAATTAAGCGTGGATATTTCCCCCAACTTTTGTCAGTATGTTCCAATTATAAATATATTGCTACCTATTCAGTTTGACTACTGTTACAACTTTGAGTAAAGGATAAGGGACACTAACTCCTGGAAACACTGTGCTGTTGCAGGAAGTTACCTGAAGTGGAGCAATTGATTTGTAAAAGTTACCCCCAGTGTGATTTTGTGGTCCTTAAATCTTCATCGTATATCTAGATAATGTAATCATGAATGTGTCATTGTCATGCCTCTATGTGACTGTTGCTGAATTAATAGGTACTTATTTTATCATGTACAAAATATATATATTCTACCTTTCGGCCCTTACAAGAGCCGCCAAAATTTGTATGTTGAAGGTAAATGTTTCCTCCTGTGTCAAGAGTTCACTTGCAGTTTTGTGTCCTGTTACACAAGAACCCTGAGGTACTGTTCCTTGATTACTACAAGTGTGCAGACATGAATGTGGAGCTTATTCACCATGCTGATATTGGTTCTCAAACAGAAGCAGCATATCCCATAAAGACTATGACTTCAAGTAGTTTAATAGAAATTTGTAATATTCATTTTCACATATTTTGTAAAAAATATGGTAAAATTAAGGGATCTAGCATGCAGCGGTAGTGTTCGCATGAACAGAAACTAGCAACTTCTAGTTGATGAGTATGGCTGAAAAGTCAAAAACTGTATTGCATGTTGGTCTTAAAGGTGCCACTGGACTCAAACATTGTTCTGCTGCTTCAGACCAGCACAGCTACCCACTTGAATGGATTACATTGTTTCAGTGTATGGTAGGCTGTTGCTAAAATATGTGTACAGAGAAACTGTACTGATACACTGTACCTAGTGTAATATGGAATGGCCTTGAAGCTTGACATAACCCAGTTTCATTTAAAAGATAAACTCTCTGGCACCTTAGACTGTTTGCCTGTGAAAACAACCATGTACAAAGAGGCTCAATTACAATATTATATGACTTAAAATAGCTGGTTTTAAGCATAAAATTGGTCCATAGTGTGTTTAATCTGGTTTATTACGAAATTTCAAGTTTGTTCAATAGAAGTAATAAATTGAAAGCAAAAATAGCATTAAATAACTTCTGTTATAAAAACTGATAGTTTCTTCTTGCTATCTGTTTTTTTTAACTTTGATTTCTCCGCATAATAATAACTTAATAAAATTTCAGTCAGTTTTTCCCCAGAGCAGTTTTCACCAGCAGCTAAGATCCATTCAACTTCACTTGAACGTGGTGTTGGATAACTGTAAACCTGTTCATCAAAATAATTTCAATCTGCTTTATCATTCTGATGAAGTACTATGAAACAGAAACATTGGTGCATTTCACATAAACTTTGTTGTACTTTTCATTAACAGCTATTTGGTGGCTGTTTAGCTCAGTGGAAAGGAAGTGTGGTAGAAAGAGTTCCAAGATAAGATTTCCTACATAGTTATCTTCCTAGCTCTAATGCTTTTCTGTAGCTTGTGGTCTTAAGAACCATGTTTCCTTTTCTACATGCATATCCATAGCTCTCTCTGTGTGTAAGATGATATAACCCTGTGCTGTGTGTCTTAAAGCTACCTTTCTATTATGTTGGATGAAACCTAGAATCTTGTATGTTATGTCATCTAGTCTTCTATTCTTTCTCCAACTGTAACAAGTTTTGCAAAGTAGGACCAGGGATACTCAGAATTCAAAACACTTGTTGGAGTGCATAAGAGATCTTTGGCTTTGAGCCTGCAGAGTGATCAGCTATGCTTTAGAAAAAGTGCTTAACTAAGCTAAAAGAAGTAGTAGTACATTTAGTTCACTTTAGACTTTTCCATCTAAGGTTTGGTCTTTCTATACCTCTTGCTCATGCCTGTGATTTTGGGCTGGTTCACAAAGTCTCCAACCATATTTTAATGTGTAAACATGAAAGTATCTATTTACCGTATAAAAGCCAGTGAACTATTTAATGTAGCCACTGGTTTGTATATATAACATAATGGACAGTCTTATGATTTTTCACACGCTATGAGTATTTCTACTACATTAAAAAAGGCAGATGTGAAGTACCATTTAGACATTGTAAGACATATGAGGAAAGTCATGGCGAATCATGTATGGGAAGCCCCAGGATGCAAAACAGCTGTTCTCTTCAGTAGTCTAGATATTCTGTCTCAATGTCTGTGATTTGTCCACTGTACAAATAATCTGAGCAACATTCAGCTAATGCTGATCCATTTTACTGGGTATCAGCACTGCTGCAATAAGGCTACAAAGCTACATCCTCAGTATTTTGTCTGATAGCAGGAAAAAGTTGTGCACTTCTTTCCCTTGAACATCTGTCCTGATGTCTAAAGTGCATGCTACTAGAGTGCAGTTCTGTTGCATGGTCCAGCTGCTTTTTAACTTGCTAAAGTCAAGTTGACTTATTTAGATCCTATATCCAGGGGAAAGTAAAATCAGTTATCAAGGCACAGTCAAATTACAGCCAGTGTTATATAATGATGGTGGAAAGTGCTGTCACGTCACAGCCAACTTATCATAACCCCGGATGGGGTTTTTCAAGGCACGAGACAGTCAGAGGTAGTTTACCACTGCCTGTTTCTGCATAGTGAGCCTAGACTTCCTTGGTGATCTCCCATCCAAATACTAACCAGGTCTGATCCTGCTTAGCTTCTGATCTCTGACGAGATTGGGCTAGCCTGGGCCATCCCGGTTAGGACGGACACATAATATGAGGCAGCAAAATAGTCAGACACTTGACATTTCATTCCTGATGTACATTCAAAGAATTTATCTGACTGTATTTTTAGAGAGCTCCAACTCAGTAGAGAGACGGAATGTGAGCATATCTGGTAAAGCAAGTAGTTTTTTAAAATGTTGGGTCATGTGCTTCTCATCGAACTGGAACTTTGTTATCTCTACATCAGAACACTTAAGTGGCACAGAAGGCTCACCAGGTATAATTTCCATTTTTTGTCAAGCCACTCAATATAAAAAGTTTAGGAACCCACAGGAATGTTATTATACTGTTAACACACGTACATACTTTATATACTGACAGACTAATCAAGGACCTAAAAAAATGGAGATTTCTAATACACTTTTAAAGAAGCCACTATTTTTTTTGCCACTATACTGTTCTTATTGCATTTTTTAAAATGTGTAATCCAGTCTCAGAAAAGTGGACTGTAAATGAAGTAAATATTAATGTGTAATCCAGTCTCAGAAAAGTGAACTGTAAGTGAAGTAAATAAATACTGTAGAGCATAGATGACACATTTCAAACTTTGATTATTAGTCGTTTAAGCAGAATGAACTGTAATAGTTAATGTAAATTAGTAACTATGCCACAAAGTGTGTCAGAGACAATGTGGAGACAATTGAGGATTTCTTTCTTGAGAAGAAATGTTACATTTCAGAGATTTATATTTAGGGCATTTTTTGCCAGCCCCCCCCCCCAAGGGATTCCAAGTAATTGATAGAAATTTCCCAAACAGTATAATTTAAACAAGACAAAGAAAACAAACACATACTGAGTGGCTTCTTATTCACTGGGCTGCCTATTGTGTGCTCCAGGCTGCAAACCAAGGGCCATGAGCCCTTTTATATGCCTGTAAGGAGAAGCAGAGTCAGCACAGGTAGTACTTAGCTGCTGTGGGCAAGCTTTCCACAAATGCTTCCTGTCTTTGAATGGATGTAAGACCCTACTTAACTGTATCTTTGCTGTGGGTGTCTGTACTGATAATTTATTGCAAGACATGGAACAGCTATGATAAATACTACTAAATACATCAATAATGGCAGTGACTATACATCATCTGTATTCTATGGTGGAAAAATTTAACACAATATTCTCCTTTTGAGTGAAATTTTGAACCAACTTTGGCAAGGTCACTGGGAGTAGATAGACTTGTTCTGTGGATCATTTATTGACTACCAGTTGGCCATCCCTGAACCTAAGCATCCCATTTGTTCTGCTTGTTAAAGGTCATAAGCCATCACGGTTATAATGAGGGAGGGAAAGGAACTAAGTACAAATGAACCAGAAATGAAAGAGCAAGCCTGTTGTAAGAAAAATATGTAGATTGATCGTGTTAAGAATGAAAAACAGTGAAATTAAGGAGAAATTACAAAACAGTATGGGATTTTTTTCTGCCATACAGTGCAATTGGGAGAAAATGAGCACAAAAGTGGAATGATTAAATATAAAATAAAAGTTAAATATAAAATAAAAGTGCGCACAATTCTTGCACATGGTGGTTGCTGTTGGCTGAGAGAAGTGCAAGTAGATATAGAATGCAATGAATAGAGTGCTCAGGGATTACACAGTGTGTAGTGTTACTTTGGTTTGTCTTAATAAATGGTAAATATGGCTTGGTAGTGAATTAAAAGTTGCATGTCGTCAAAGTTTTTACAAGTGAACATTACTAATAGTGGGATCTTAAATCCTACATTGCACACATAGGCATTAATGTACTGTTTGTACAGAGCTGCAGAGAAACTATCCACAGTAATGGAAGAAAATGCAAACCCAGAAGTTTGCAATTGATTTTATTGCAGACATTATCAGTGGTGTTGTGATGCTGTTGATTTTAGTGAAAGAGCTTGAGTTAATACCAATCTCAATGCAAAAATGTAATCTCATTTTAGATATTTTTGGTTTTCATCAGATCATGGAACTTTGTGGTGCAACAAGACTTGGATACTTTGGAAGAAGTCAGTTCTACATTGCTCTGAAACTTGTTGCAGTAGCTCAGTCTGGGCTTCCACTGCGAGTGGAAAGCTTAAATTCAGGTAAGCCTTGAAATGGTATTGAAACATAATTTCTCGGTTATTAAAATGTGGCTTTTGTGATTTTGTGCAGTATATTCCATCTGTATTTGTGGTCTCTGTCTGCCTCAGCTCATACGACAGATGTAACAGCTTTTCCTGAATAGTTCTCTTATAAGGAGAATTTGTGAGAAAAAGCTACTTGTAATGTGACTGATTCTAAAACAATAGAAGCTGTCCTATGCCTGCTTTTGTTTATTCCTTATTTACTTCATTTATAACCCTGCCATATTCCCCAGAGGGACCCAAAGCAACTTCCATCATTCTCCTCCATAGTTTCCTCAGGACAACCCCATGTGCTAGATTAGGCTGAGAGTATGTGACAAGCCCTAGGTCACCCAGCAAGCTCCTGTGGCAGAGTATGGATTCAAACCTGGGTCTCCTAGATCCTAGTTTGATACTCTAATCACAAACATGACTCTGATATAGAAAATTCAAGGTGCTGTTGTCTATTTCTGGTTCTTTTAATTCTATCACAACACTCTTTAAATATGACTTCCATTACCATGATAATATAAAAGTTTATATGGAGATGTGAAATTAAGTGCCTTAGCAGCAACTCTGAATAAAATCATATTTTATGAGTTATCTAAGCATTTTGTAATTTAAACATATAATAATTTTTATCATTATTTTAACAGTCAAGGACCTTCCCCTGCCCAGATTTGTCATGTCAAAGAATGAACAGGAACTGAGGCATTCGTCCTTGTATTCTTCAGATGCTGATAATTCCTCCTCCTATTCAGGTGCAATTCCTCCTCCTCCTCCAGGCAGAATACAAGTGAAAAAAGGCTCTGTGAGCCATGATGTAGTCCAACAACGTCCATCAACAGATCAACAGGTAAGACCAGTTCTAGATGTTTTTGCATTGTGTTGTCCTATATGCAAGCTGGGCAACGTCTCTTTGGCATAAATTTCTGGAATACTATAAAACAAACAGAACAGAGGTGCTGCATTTTACCTTGGCCTTTGAAATAATTACATTAATTTATTTTAGTTTATTATTATTCTAAATTTTAAGTTGTAATTGCTTTAATATTTCTGGTGAAACTAATCTTCCTGTTCTTTTTTTAAGTTGGCCTAGATGATTACGCAATTACATGAGTTTGGAAATACTATATATTTTTTGGTTTTTAGCAGGAAATGTACTAAAATTGTTTCAGACCACTGCAGCTAGGTTACCAGCAAACTTCCTTGAGGCATCTTCCTTAATTTAGAGCTTGATCTGTTTTTCTTTATGTGATGTGCCTTATATTCAAAGAATTTAGGGTATTTCTTATGTCAAACTTACAAATAGACAAGTGTGCTGTTTGCGTATGTGTTTAGCTTTTTGCATTAAAATATCACAATTGTATGATTTTTCCTGAGAAGTTTGTCTGGAAAGCAGAGATAAATGGAGTAATTGCAGATGCTTTTAGCCTTGAGTAGGGTGTTTTCCACATGGGTCCAAGCTTGTGTAGTTTTCCTATTGCTACAGTGGCTGCTAGGACAGCACAGCGTTAATGGGGCATCTACTCAGCAGGTTTCTCTGGTAGTTCTTTTTTTAAAATTGGAGATTGAATGACTTATCAGATTCAGACACCTTTAATGGCATAGTAGTATATAATAAATACATTTAAGAAGATACATTGAATTCCAGTAAGTAAATTTAGGCAATAAAATATGTGTATTAGGTAAAAAGACTGTATCTAAGTGCGGCTGATTCAGCTAAGAATTCTGCAACCATAATTGTAGAATAAGTATTAACATCGTTAAGATATTGAAGAGTTTTAAGATTATTAGTAAGTGTGCCCAAAGGGGTAACGGTTTCATATGTGAAGATGTGTGTAGCTGGCAGTCCAGAATGATATGGAAGATTGCAAATGTTCCAGCATGGCCTCAGACACAGAGTCTTTCCTGGGGGTGGGGGTGTTGTTAAATTGACCCCCACAACATGTTTGAGGGAAAGACGTTTAGCCGAGTCAGCGTAAAGGCTCTACAATGGCAAGGAAGGCTGAGATTATGTAAATAATGGGGCACTTGGCCATACTGGGTAGAGAGGTTAAGGTGAGCTTGTGAGTAAACATGCGAATGTGAAGGCCATAAATTATGTAATTCTAGGTTGAAAGTCTTTGTCTAATAGACCGAAAGATCGAGGTTTCGTCCATCAGTCGAAAACCCTATTTGATGAATTTTTTCTTCTGTTTTTGAAAACCAAAAGGGACTGTGTATATCATTTTTAAGCGTGAAATTAGAGAGTTTGGAGAGGCTCTAAAATGAATTTTGAGCCAATATTTAAAGGTTAGTAGCCAACCTTTTGTTTGAATAAGATGTTGGCCCAATTCTAGGCATAAAGCCGAGTGTGGCACACACCTTGGGACACCTAAGAGTTGGTGAAAGAAGTTTGATTGCATGTGCTCAAACTCAGTGTTCAGTGCCTTTATCCATACTGGACAACCAAAGAGTACTTGGGAAAGCACTTTAGTTTCGTAAATTTTTATTGCTGAAGGGATATGTTGATTTCCGTTGATAAAGAAAAATTGCTTTAGTTGGGTGATAGATTGCTTCACTTGGGAAATTGATCTAATTCTCTGTGTTGTCCAATTTAGGTTGTACTGAAATGTTACTCCTAAGTATTTAAAAGTTTTGACCTGTTCAACTTCTGTATTGCTGATTCTCCATTTACTTGGACACCAGCGTTTTGAAAATACTAATACTTAAGGTTTAGTATAATTTATGGTTAATACATTATCTTGACAGTATTTATTGAAATGCTGTAAGTATCTTGTGAGGCCAACTTCTGTGCATGAAAGAATTGTGGTATCATCCGCATAAAGAAGAGGGGTGGCATAGGGACCTAATCTAGGTGGGTGACCATTAATGGGCTCCAGATGCAAAGCTAAATCATTTAAAATAAATTAAAAAGAAGGGGGGGCAGTATACAGCCTTGTTTTACTCCTTTTTGTAATGGGATCTTTGCTGTCAAATGTCCACTTTCTGTATATTTTACTTGACAGAAGGTGGATGAGTAGAGTTTTTAAATCAAAAATAGGAGGGGGGTGTAGTGATTCCTTGTTTTATGTGTGTGGATGTCTCTTTAAAAGTTTGGTTGCATGGCAGTGGTAAGTAGACTAGAGTGGTTGAGAGAAGCAAGCGTGGTATGATTGGTGGTTGACAGAGAGGGGGAGGGGTGTTGGAAGTGAGAATGAGTGGATATGTATGTCAGTCAGGTTTTACAGTTACAGGTTTGACAGTTAGTTCTGGGTATGAAGGAAGTTAGAAGCAGTCCTGTATGGTATAAGTTAGTTCTGTGTGGGGAATGAGAGAGACAAGCAGTTAGTTCTGTATGTGAGGGAAGTGAGAAACGGAAGGAAGGCTGAGAGAATAGAAAAAATAAATGAAAGTAATTGAAGACAAAGTTTAGGATAGGCTGTATGTCCTGGAGAGAAACAGTGAACTTACATGACCTTGAGTTAAAGTGTTACAAAGTTACCTGAAAGATCCCTGTCAATAAGGGAGCAGATTGTGTGTGATAACACCAAGCAATTGTTCATTTATACACATCAATAGTTACCTTGTTCTACCCTTTTATTTATGAATTATTTCAATAAATCCTCTTTTATTCAAATATACCAGCTCTGAAAGAAATCCTTAGGACCACATAGTTCCTCATAAGCCTTGTACTCGGTCTACCTAACCAGCAAGAGCAGAAGTAAAAGTATAAAGGTTTGGAAAGCCTTAAATTTTCTGGTGGCAGCCGTATATACCTAGTAGAATGAAATAAAGAACACTTTTAAAGGGAAACCAGTCCTCCCCAATAAGGAGGGCGTCATGGGGGGGGGGTTTCCATCTTCATTAGTTCTAGCTTTTTCCAGAGTAGGTTCTAGAGATTGAGTCAAATGCACCTTTCAGATCGATAAAAGCTGCATAAAGTTTTTTTGTACCAGACTTCATACATTTGTCAGCTAAAAAGGATAGCAGAAAACCGTGGTGGTGGAATTGCCTTTCAAAAATCCAATTTGTTCAGGACAAATGATTTGTTGTGTGAATACCCAAGTTTTTAGGCGTCTTTCTAAATATTTGGCATAAAGACTGATTGGCCGATAATTATTTGGGTAGTTAGGATCGCCTTTTTAAAAAATTGGTATGAGTTAGGATCGCCTTTTTAAAAAATTGGAATGATAATGGAATTCAGCCAAGATTGAGGCAGTATTCTGTGTTGATTGATTTGGGTAAACAAGTTAGCAAGCAGAGGGGCCCACCACTGAGAATGTTTTGTGAGTACTTCAGCGGGGAGAATGATTTACTGATATACCTGTTATACCAGTATTTAGATATATATCAGGTTCTCTGAATTCTCAGCTTTCATTTAAAAAAAATCTCTAGCTCCTTTTCTTGCATAAATATTTCTGCAACAGAGACTTTTAAATGAAATCTTGAGAATTCAGAGAACCTGTTATACAGATGGCTGTTGTTTGGGTGGGATTGGGAAAATCCGTACTTTCCTACCCATGTGGCAGTTATCCAGGCTTTGCTGCAATCTTTCCCAAAATTTCAGAGCAAAGCAGGTTTGTGAAAGATCAGAGAAAAGCAGGGGAAATCCCAGAGGTGCATGAATGTACCATGATGCTGTGGGGAAGCAGGGACACCCCCCCCCTTTTTTATAGGTTACATGTCTGTGACACAGCAAGTAGCTTTTGATCAGTGATGTTGTTGGGAGGCAGTTGTCAAGCCCCCAGATCTGAGAGGTGTGACTGGTGTTTGCTGGATTTAGGGGAAGGCATAGGTCTTTGACAAATTCACAAACCTTACGAAATTGGTCACCTTAGGTGCCATCAATGTAACAGCTTTAGGCACATTACTTTCAAGAACCTTACCAAATTTCAGGGCCAAGGTGCTTTTTCAGCCCTTCCATTGCCCTTTGTTTTGGAATGTAACTGATAGTTGATCTGGAGTTTTTCTTTTCTCTGAGGACAAGCCCATTCCATTCTAAGCTTTTAACATACAGGTGTTGAATGTATTGAAATTGGGCTGAATAAACTGGGATCAGAGAAGAACCACCACTCCTCTAGTCCTTCACTGTATGACTTGCTGCCCTTTAAGTTCCACTCTGTTAATGCAACTTGGTCTGTTTATTCTTGCAATCTTTTCCCCAATTTTGCCTCAGTCAGTTCTTCAGATACTTATTGGGTAGTTCTATGTAAAGAGTGTTACTATTTCTCCAGACAAAGAACACATCTAGAAGTCATAAACAGGTGCCTGGAGAGGGAAATGGGATGGATAAACTGAAGCTCAGCCCAACTCAGACTGATGAACTGCTGGTCAATGACAAAGCTGCTTGAGAACTGAAGAGTCATTCTGTTATGGAGGAGTTTCACTTGCACTTAAGGAACAGGCTTTGGGGGAGAGGGGAGAGATACTGCTGGATCCTGGCCTAGGGTTGGATACCCAGTTCTTCTCTGTGGCCCATAGTGCCTTTTATCAGCATTAGTTGATATGCTAGCTGTGATAGTTCCTCAGAAATCATGAACTGGCCACAGTGATCCATGCTCCTGTAATGTCAAGGCTAGAATACTGTAACATGCATTATGTGGGGCTGCCTTTGAAAATGGTCTGGAGAATTCAGCTAGTTGCCCTTTTCTTTCTGGGCTCAGTTCAGAGCAAAAGAAACGCCCTCTAGGAGCAGTGGCACAGGCAGTACAGCGCCTGCAAGTAACATCAATAGCGAACAGCCACAATGGCTGTTCAAATCCCCACCGCGGCCGGAGTGAGCTCCCGGCCCCTAGTCCCAGCTCCTGCCAATCCAGCGGGCCGAAAGCAGTTAACAGCTATGCGAGCAGGCGAATGGGTCCCTACCCTTAC